ATAAATTGATTAGCGTGAAGTGGTAGCCCCATTTATTGTATTTTGGGAGCTGCATAATGCTAATATATTTGGGAGAAAGCGCTGCACCCTGTCTCATTTTGCGCAGAAAAGAAGATGGAAATTCACAGAATCAGGAAAGTGGTCCAGATCATATTGCCGCTCGCAAACCCAGTCCATAATTTTTGTCTGCTCATTGTTGTTCAAGAATTTTCTTGACGCTGTTAGTGATTTATTTTTATTTGGTTTGATTTTTGACTTATCGATTAAGTTGATATTGTGAAGAAAATGCTCGAGATAAGAGGAAGCCTGTTCAAAGCCTTTCTCAAGTTCTTTTTAGCACTCCGAGTTAACCGCCAGGTTGCAGTGCCGAGAGAATCCGCAGAAAGGCTGGGAAATAGAGACAGAGCTGCTTGAACCTATTCAGCGGGAAAGATTCAAAAAGAAGGATTCGAGCCAATGTTTCAAAATTAATGGCTCTTTTCACTAAAACCAACTCGACTTTGAGCTTATGCCCGATAAGTCAATGATTTTTCCAATTCGTACCATTAGCCAGGGTTGGCTTATAATCCACATATGTATGGGATAATTACGGATGAATATTTCCACAAGGAGAATGTACTGGCCTTGGAAGGGTATCAATGAGTTATGTATTTCTGTCGCCTTTGTTTTATTTTGAGCATGATTTGTGAGAGCGTCACGACAAGTGCAAGCGTGTTGCTTCTCCTACGGGTCGCTTCGCAACCGTAGTGATAGGCCTTGACAGGATGTATTGAAAATTGCCCTGGTATGTCCTGTTTTTATGTCATTTTTTAAACTCTCCCTAATGAAATAATGATCAAAAAGCCACAGGCAGCCAAAAGCTGTGATGTTTATTGTTATTGTTTATTGTGTCTTATTTTTCTGAAGACTATCTCCAACTTATTACCAACTTGTAGATAGTCTTTGAACTTTTGACTTCATTTCTATGACAATCAATTTCAGATGTTTTTATCTCCGCCTTCCTTTCAACGTATCCTTCGTCATTTCAAATTGCTCGGCAATTTTTGTCTCAATCGAAAGGCTCATAGCCACTCTGAAAACCAGAACCTACGAGCACGGTTATAGGAACGTTGGATATTGCTTGATATTTCTGCAGGTCACACTAGCATTTTCCATTCGTTTATCACACAGCTTACGTTTTTGAGTTTGCTTTCAACCCCGAAATCGACGGAATCGCTGCGAAGCCACTGGTGCATTTATTAGGCTGTCGGTGATCACGAACTGTTTTTCTCTTCTTGACTGCAAGCCCTAACCTTGCCCTTTTTTATTGCTTTTGTTTTTCTGTTTTTAGCCACAGATCGCCTTGCGAGTTTTTCACAGGAATGCTCGGTTGCGAAGCCTAGCCTTGTTTTCTGGTGCGCTTGGTTGTTGAGCTGGCCGCACTAAATTAAATTGTTTTCAAAAAGCTGTGACGCGTCAACACTGTGAAAGACCACAGTCTTCGCGTGGTTCTCCTCATCACTGTGAGGAGTGTGTTTTCGTAGTAGGTGACAGCAGAGCATTGTAGCAACGTAGCATTATCAAACGTGTGAAAAAAGTTCAGCGGGAAAACATGGAACAGGAAGGAGGACAAATTGGAAACCTGCGTCGATCTATGTACAACCCAGGAAGTATATATTGATATTTTTCACCTCAAGAAGTTAGAGCTTATGACGCACAACGAAAAAAGGCTTTGTTTTTACTTGAAGCATATTATTCATCACATCAATTCGCAACTAACAGAAATATGAACCGAACAGCCTCGGTATGCAATTTGAAGAGGGAGGAAGTTAGCATTGTCAAGCGACGGAAATTTGAACATGGAATAGGAAGGCGGACTAATTTTTCAACAAATTTTGACGTTTTCGGGGAGAATTCAAAAGTTGTTAGTAAGTATAGCAGTCACATATTCGCGTAGGCCCATTCAACGAACGTTCTATTCTATTAATGCGGTGCCGGGATCGGTCGAAAATGATCACTCTTCATTGATCAGCTTCCTCATCGCAACCGCTTTCAGGTTACAGTAAGTAGCTGCCTTCTTTGTTTGGTCTATTCTCAAACAAAACTGAACCTTAACCCCCTCTATTACTGCCAAACGACGTCCAGATTGAATTTCATGTGGACAATCTATCCATTCTGTGGTATGCTCATGATGCAGTTATTAGCTGTTTTGATCTTCGAGCTGGCCAGCAAGAGGAATAAGGTTTGGAGATTTCTTATTATAATTTTTGTGGTAACTCAGCCTGTGTATTTTTCATGTATGTGTACTTATATTTTTTGATAGCTCGAAATAATGGTTACTGTTAGATCGGTTTAGAAGAAATGGTGTTTCAGTGCCATCAATGGTGTTGCCAATCTCTCCTGTCGCTACCAGAATGAGCAGAATCAATGGTTCGTTATTATCAATGCAAAAACTCAAGTGTTTGGGTTGTCTGACTTCCTCTTCCACTTTCTTCAACTTCTCCACCATCTCAAAACAAGAATTATTCTCTTTAATTTGTTCACTTTAGGACGATCAAATTACTGAAAGTTTACGTGTATACTAATGTCACGTTCACGGCTACCTTCCTAACGGCTGTTGGTCTCGTAATTTTCAACAATCACCTTTTTTTGATACCCACATATTATGCACTAGTAGATGGTAAGTTGTCAGATACTATTTCATTAATGGGAGGTACTGAACTAAAACAAGGCAGCTTTTTCAAGGCAGGTTGTTCAAGGCTTTTTCTGGTGCTTCAATTTTGACCTCTTTACAAGGTGTCTCAAGAATGTTGGTGTCGGAATCCAAACTTTCATTAAGTAGAAGCTATTGATTGCTTACTTGACTATTGACTTCATTTGCTGCTATTCTATTATGCAGGAAGGTATCCCTGTTATCCACTCTAAAATTCCTGACATCTTCAAGACGGCGGGAAATCTTTCAGTACCGCGATCATTCGTATGCACCAGGCATGTCTCCAACAAAGGGCAAGCCCAATAATCTGTAATTCTATTAAGGGCTGTACAAAAGACAATCAGACGATACCAGGAAGAAGTGTTACATGTATAGGCGATAGAAGGAAAAACGCTAATCATTCAGCGAGTGTACTGTTCTCCAACTTACAGCGACCATGACGCTTCATCAGAATAATGGCGAGCTGGATGAGGGAAGTCATGAATGGGACAGATGGTCAGAAGAGAAAATATTCATGGGCACTCAACAGCAGAGAGCAGAAATGTTGGAGATCGCGGACCCAATTCGGCGAAGCCGCGGCCTTCCCATGCTTTCTTCTGGTCAAAGAAAATTTTACATGTGGGGCAATCTGCAATAGCGAAAACGACTGTATTCCGGCCAGAAATGTCGAAAACTAGGGAATACTGTTTGCATACCATCAAACTCCGTTCCAGTGTGGTTCATAGGGTCGTTAATTCAGTGATAACTGTGTACTACTACTCTATATAGGCGCCCATGATTTTAGAGCCCCTGTATTCATAAACTGAGAAAGCTGTTTGCGATTTTTTAATTTTTAATTTTTTAATTTTTTAATTTTTAAAATTTCTTTAAATTTGCAAATTCATCCATATATTATACAGTGCGTTTCAAACGTATGTGGACACATCAATTCACATTCAAAAGGTGAGTAAGAGACTTGTGCTAATCCTCCTCAGTTGGTTTCTCCTGGTCGACAACCTATCAAAGGAAGTAAAGCAGAAATATCTCCTTACCTCCGTGAAGAAGTCCGTCAATAACGGTGGGCATTTTTTTCGAATGTGTGTAACTTGACGAATACCTCTTGAGGAAACTTTCATACTTTCATTTAGCATAAATTTGTCAGTGTGATCGCTAGGAACAACTACATCAAAATTTCGACGCAGCGAAGATTCGGTTTTTTGTCAAGAAACAACAAGTCCAGAGAAACTACACTCTGTATGGACATAGAACGTAATCCCGCTGCGAAACAGATCGCGAGTCATGGAAAGAAGTTGGCCTTTGGCCGGCTACATATCAGGCGACGCAATGAAAGATTCGAAATATGCGCGATTCTGGAGAGCAGAGATAAATCAATCGATGAATTAGGATGGAGTAGGAATGTGAGATGTGAATGTGGTTCACGTAAGGGCGCGAAGACAGTTGTTCTGGTGAAGGCACTCCCAGAACCAAGTGGAAGCATACCCGTCGCCAGCATTTGTGAAAGACGTCCGTGGGCGATTTGAACGCGTAGCAGCCATTTCGATTTTTCGAATTTTGCACCAAAACAAAAGCATATTTCTGTTCTTTTCATTCTAATGGTGGATAATGAAGTCTCAAACCAACGATTTATGGCTGAAATAGAGTCATGGTTTTTCCGTGAAAGATTCCTTTAACAAAAGGAAAACATCCTGAGCTTAACATCAGCTCAGCTTCCTCCAGAGTTGCTAATTTACGACTCAGAATCTGTCGCGCCATACCTCAGGAACCTACGCGGTTTTATTTGTACTGGCCTAGTTGCTCTGACAGCTGAAGTGAACTCCTTGATCAAAGCTTCCCTAAAGGTTGCAGTAATGTGAACACACAAGCCAATCTATCGCTTCAGCACCATTTTATTTAGCCATTCTTTGGTAGCGCGGAATATTGGCAGACGCGTGGTCCTGTTGCTAAACATGCAACCTTTCGCTGCGCTCCTCTAATGAAAAGGCAACAGGTGATATTGGAGCACTGCTTGGTATTCTTCACTGTTCATACGCAATAATGGAATGGCCACTTACCAACATTCCGCTGCTTGCGAAACCGCCACAGACCCATCAACGGCCTTCTCTGAAATTCCTTCCTCGAAAACACGAGCGGCTGCCTTCAGCTGCAGCAAAATCATCTGGACCGCCCCCCCCGTCAAGATAGACTCTTTTCATGACGTTAAAGATTACCTGAGAAAATAAATGCCATAACATAAGTTGCTTTGTTTAAGAAAGAAAGTCTCGAAAAATCCCTGACCTATCCCCTGTATCCTCTCCTAAATTTTCAACGTTATATACGGTCAGCGACTTCCAAATCTTGCTAACTTGTCGCTGAAGAATGAATTGTGTTAGGCATTTCTCAGCGTCTGTCTATGTCTATTTATTGAGCGGACGCAGGCGCAAATATTGACAGTTCTCTAGCTGGGTATAATCATCTGAGCTCGCCACAGACAAGATAAGATTGGACAGATATTGCGGGATACTCCCCCTTTATTTTTGTGTTGTTCTGAGCAATTCGGATCAGATGGTTCAGTGTCCTGCTTAAGATATTATCAAGGTTGTGAACGAATCTTCCAAGCATTAAGGAGAACGACCTAGTTATCGTGCGATTTCCGACTAGAACGTCCAGTATCATGTAGGACCATTATCTGGCTCATCTTCAGGAAGAAGTATGGCGCGAATTGACATGATGACGAAATGAAAACAGCAAAGTCGGATTGAAATCGGTGGAAAATTTGGCGTCAAAATCTGATCTTCTTCAAGTGTGCACATACTTTTGAAACAAAGAGAAAAAAATTCCTCTCGAAATTTTCTTACGAATGTGAAGAATGTTATAGTGCATAAAACGAAGTTCAGGCTCAGATCGCGCACTAATGAGCCTTTACGGTGGCTAGAAGCGCTAGGTACGCAAGTGTAGGGGTCGCGTCACTTCCCTACTTCGAAAACCGTTATTTAGACGCTAGGCGCTAAGAACTTTGACACGCTCCACCTGCTGCGACACGCTCCGCCCACCGCTCGATATCTTGTCTGCGTCGGAATGGAATGCTCTGTTGATCTGCTATGCTCTCTCTACTTAGACTTCTCTAGCGCTCTCCGCGCTCACATTATCTCTCATCTCCCTGCCGGCCTTTTGAACTTCTCCGCACCGTAGAGGAAATGGCTCGTATTTCCTAAGCATTTCACGATTTTTTTTCTCTCTTTTCTGCACTGGAGGTCCACTACCTACCCCTACTTTCACATTTGAGTGGAATTACCTCATAATTCAATCCTGAATCTTGCCTTTAACTTACATTGATACGTCATCGACCACGAGGAATCGATTGAGGAAGATTTCATCGCACAAAGGCTCTAACTTATCTTTTTACCGTGGATCTTGAGGTGTCCACATACTTTTGGAATGCGCTGTATTAGCTCTTCTTCTGCTCCGACTAAAAATACTGTTGGATTTTTTCTACAAAAAATCGTGCAAAAATTCATGCCTGCAGTAGTGGCTAAGAAAGGTAGCTATGAGAAACGGCCATTTATCGTAAGTGTATGTAGGGGTTAAGTGGTAAGTGAAGTTCCCGAAAGAAAAAGATTTCAATAAAGCTTGTGCGTACCGGGGAAGGACATGCGACATATGACAGTAGCAAGACGGCCAGAAAGGGGGCGTTAGAGCTCTCTCGACGAAAGGTGCGTTGATTGCTGAGCAGTACTTGAAAACCGCAACGGTAGACGCTCCCGCAGTAGTTGGGCTTCTGATTCGGACGAGCTCTATTGCTGTTCTCTTTTTATTTGGAAGATTGTACCTTTCTCATGGTTAGCTGTATCTTCCAATTTGCCTGATGAATACTCGTCACTCATGCAATTAATTTCGGAAACGTTGCAGCCAATTTCGTAAACTTTGCAGCCCATTTCGTAAACGTTGCAATCAATTTCGTCATTCTAACCCTAATTCGTCATTCTTGCAAGCAATTTCGTAAACCTTGCAATCAATTTCGGCAAAAAAAAATTTCGCTGAATACCTTTATCTTAGCTTTATCTTACGGGGATCATCGAGGATCCTGATCACGAATGCAACATCCATTTTTGGCACTGCTTTCACCACGACCACTCCCAACAAAATCGCTGTAAACTTGGTTGTAGAGGTTAGCTGATTACGAAATGATATCCATTCTTGGCGCTGGCGCCGGTCTTATGCTAAAGCGAATGACATAATTGTAGAGCTCGAAGTAACCCTTTTACACAAGTTTACAGCGAATTTGCTGAGAATGAGCCGTGGTGAAACCTGGCATTAAATAGCGCTACGGCGCCAGCGTCAGAACTGGTATTGGATGTCACAGTCGTGATCAGGATCGGCTCGCTCCGACTGCCATCATACAGTGTGTCTGGCATGATCTATCAACTGTGCTTGAGAACTCAGCTAGGCAGACTGTGTCACTGTCGACTTGTCGTAGAGCGGGGATTTTTTTTGAATTGTAAGGATAAATGGTGTATTCTGTGCAATCGGCATGTGCCATTGATCATAGCTGTCCTGCAACCTTCAATGATGGATCGAGGAAGAACTTGTTGGGGGTTTGCTCGACACACCACCAGACGGGTAGCATCTCTCATTGCTAAACGCTTCAGCAGGGCCCTCTGATCGATTAAACCGGTGACCCTTCAGCGTATGTTTGAGACGAAGCCACCATTTCTTATCCGCAATTGATTACTTAGCCAGTTCTTGAGGGAGGGGGTCTGCGATGTGTTCCCACATGTTGGCAGCAGTTTGATCCTCGTTTCTGGTCAGCACTAGTGAGAGAGCACCTAGTCCAAATCCGGCAGTGATGGTTTTTCTAGAGCGTGGTTCCCTTCGGCCACGGTTGTGTTAACGAAGGAGGTTTGACTATTTCTAAAACTACACGGTGGACGGCGTCAAGAAGATCGTGAAACAAATGTTGCATAGGACTTATTACAGAAGTACATGA